ATTTATGTCAGCAGGGCGAGAGCATTCAGATTATGATTAATTGCCAGTAATGCGCGGTGTGGAGAAGCGGAGTCAGTGAGAAACACAGTGGTTAGAGTAATAAGAGTGATTATCAGCCTCTCGCATCAAATCCGCCAATATACGAAGAGTGCGTGCGGCGGGAAGGGTTTCCGATTCAGATTTGTGTTTTGTGGATAATGTTCTTTGGTTTCGTTAGTTGGCGTTATCTGAGGCATTAAAGACCGATAACCCTTATCAGAAACTTAAACAGGGTATCGAAGTTTCCAAGTACTGCGTAAGAAACATGGATATGGACGGAGAAACGAGCAGATAAAGTACACATTGTTTGCTTTGCCTGCACGTATAATTTACCTCGCGAACGATAACAGAGCGAAACGTGCAAGGAGGTGTAAGTAATAGTCATAAAACCAATCAAGACAGGCGTGGTGCGGGCAGGTGTGGCAGCAGTGGGCTTTGTGTGCAGCACAGACCCGTACACAGAATAAATGTAGTAGAATGAATGATCATTTCTCGTGGCCAGGTTCACGCCGCCGTCAGGGCTACCACCCGGCCTGTCGCGCTGGGGTGTTTATTGTGTTTTGTTCTTTTTTTTTTCCTTCGCTTTAGTTTATGCGTTTGTTATGCTAGTAGAACGTCGTATAATTGAATTAAAGTCTTTGTGCTTGTCCGCTTTTGTAAATGGAGGCTGAAAAGAGAGGAGAGGGAGTGGGGCGAAAAAAAAAACGTTGAAATGAGGTTGATCCCGTCACAATTTAGAGAGAAAAAGTGGATATGCTAAGGCAGGGTTCAGCTGTGTCAAGGCTTCGGTTTTAGCTTATTCATTACCCGTGACCGTCGCTTTGAAACATAATTAGCATACTTTAGGTTAAACAGTCAACTAAATATGAAGGGGTAGCAAACTACAGCAGAAAAAATGTCCGTAACTGGTAAAAGTAGGTAAGGTTTTCCGATCCTCATGTTGGCAACGATTGGATCAACCAGGGTTACCAACCTAGCCCTGGCTTAGTTAGGTATAAGCTATGGACGACAGGAACGGTAATTCATTGTATGTATTTACTTAGTTATTTTTAAGATTTTAAAGAAAATGTAATAGAGTCGGGAGAATTGTGGTCAAATGAGGCATATGTAATTGTTAAACGTACTCATTTGAGATGTGTATTGTAATTGCAAATAGAGTCTACTTGCTGAACCAGGGATTCAATGGGAATGGACTTTCTATTTCTGTCATGTAAGTTATCGGTAATCGGTCGTTTGATAAGGCGGATTTATTCCCGGAATCTGGACGAGGATTTGAAGAACGCCGAATTTAATCCCTGTGATAAGAAAAGGGAGAATAGATAGATAGAAAAAAAATGCTTTATAGTGTGACCTGCTTGCGGTGAACATGGGTTGTTCTTGATTGTTCACGTTGATGCTTTATGGCGGGGGGGGGGGGGGGCATAGCGAGACACAGGGCCATTAGCGCCTCCGTGCTGCCGCTGACGTTCCCGAGCGGCGGCCTCAGGCAGACGTGGTCATGCCCATCCGCGCGCGCGCTCCCACCAAACAACTTTCACCGCAACGTCATTTGCACCGTTTAATGGGGATGCTTTGAGTTGAACATGAACTTTAAAGCGCGTGTCTTTTTCCTTTTTGTCTTTCTTTTTTTTCTTTCACATTTGCCAACGGTTCCTGACAACAGCTACCCACTGTAAACTATAGTGTTAGGCGGGCCATTATGTAAGCACTTTGGGAGGATGTGATATACTCTGTACCCCGAAGTTACTGGTCATGTTGACAGCAGGGAGCTTCTGGGAAGGCCAGAGAGGAAGGTGTTTGTGTGAACAGGATGAATGCACGAGGGGGCAGGCCATGGTTGTTAGTGAGGGCTGAATTGCTTGCGTGTGGAAAGGCTAAATGTTATTGATAAGGGAAGGTGTAGAGAAAATTATAAAGTGAGGAGAGGGCTGTAAGTCTGCGACACCGATAAACTTTTCCGGTTGATTGTTTCTCTTGGCGGCGCTGCAGCGTTTGGTCACGCCCACCTTTGACGTTCTTCGGGCAGGGAGGCGGAAAGCGGCCAACGGTCTCCCAGACGCGCGTCCTTTCTCGCCCTCCGATAAACGCAATCAAACACACAGATGCTCCTGGGCTGCACTCCCCACGCCTATCGCCATCGCATCCGGTGACAGTTGACAGCTGGGCGTGACGTGAGCGACGAGTGCCAGCGGCCAGTTCGGTCTGTCGTCTGTGCGCGAGAGGAACTGAAAGAACAGGCACACTTCCTTTAGGATGTCGTGACGTCACTCTCATGACGTCAGTCCGGGCTTGCTGCTGATAGCGTAAACCTCCCGCGGAAATGGCCGCTCGGTGTGACCTAACATCGTAGGCAATGAATGAGGGGAAGCTCGGACGAGGGCACTCAGTCACCCTTCGTCGTCCGCGCTGGAGCACGCGCTGACTCGGTGCTGACCTCGCCCCCATGGCCGCCGCCGTTGCA